AAGTATTTTGAACAGATTTATGGTATATCTAAGTGAAACACACTAGCCTAGTATAAAATAGATGCTGAGATATTTAAAAAGGTCATCTATGTTAGGGCTAACATTTAAAAATTTGTAATAAAGTTATAATTTTGAAGAGATACACAGACTCTAATTTTGCAGGTGTCTTAGATAAAAGAAGATCTATTTCTTATATTTTCACACTTTGTAATGGGCACATTAGTTGGAAATTTTAACTGCAAAAGATTGTGGCTCTAACTTCAACTAAGGCAGAATATATTGCAACATGTGATGCTATTAAGAAAGGAGGATTATAAAAAGAAATCGGTTTTATAATTGAAGTTATCAAATTCCATATTGATAACCGAAGTGTTATTCGCCTTAATAAGATTCATGTGTATCATGATAGAACTAAGCAAGTGGATATAAAATTTCATTTCCTAAGGAACGTGGTAGAAAAAAGGTCCTACTAAGTTTTATCCATCTGGTCTTAGTACCTAAGGTACTTTCCTTAAGTAAGTTTAGAAGTTGCTTGAAAATTATAATATTAGTTAAAAGATAATATATTAACAATACCAACCACTATAGTTTGTAAAAATTTTAAAACTAGCTTCAATTTATTTTTATTTTTATTTATTTATTTATTTTGCGGGTTTGCCAAAGTGTGAAACAAGTGTTTTGTTCCAAAAAATTAAATAAAGTCAAAATTAGTTCAGTAAGGTAGAGATTGTTAAAATTTGCCTCACATTTTTTACTTGGACTTGGACCTTTGACTATTATTTTATAAAGGTGCATTTTTTGAAATGCGGCCCTTAGCTTGTGTTTTGCTGCAATCTGGCCTCACACTTGGCTGAATATTGGACGTTGGATCTACGGTTTTGTAGTGGAATATAAAAGGCACACTTGGCCATTTTCCGTGGGGGTTTTTATCCTTTATTTTCTCTCATTCCGTTATTCAATCTCATATAATCTTAAATGAATTTTGTTGATGTACAGAGTGTATAATTTAAGTTTGAAGTGGAGATTTACATTGGTAAGCTTGTCTTTGTGAGGCGAGAGAATTATTCGAAGAAATCTCATACATTTGTACAAACTGAATCTTGGCTGATTTTAGTGATTTGGAACAATATCTAATTGTAGATGCCCGATGGGTGTGTAGCGTTTAGAGCACGTGAACATTCGAACCCATTAGTTGTGAAAGGTCTTTATGTTTTTACTTTTACTTTTTGCTATTTTTCATTTCTGAAAATATTTTGTTGTTTGATATTGTTCAAATACGTTTTGGGACCAACATGTCCCTTTTCCATATCCAAGTTTCATTAGTTTTTGGCTGTGCTTACTATCGTATTTATTTTTGTATCACTTGTAACATATCTTGCTTGTGATGAATGTGGAGGTTTCTAACGCTCAAACTAGCACCATCAAGAATTTTGCACTAGCCAGGGCACAACAAGATGGTTACACTTGCAATTTTATAAGATTTGTCGTATGGGAATTATATTGTTCCTATGATTCCAACTCTTGCAGACCTTAGTGAATAAATTTTTGGTAATCTTATTTTTAAGAACCGATGAAGTAGAAAAGTCCTTATCTGATTGAATTTGTCTATATGATTGTGATTGTCTTCTTGAAGTATCGTTGTTGTAATTCTACCAATTGGAATTAGTCCTATGCTTACAATTAGTTAGCAGAAGTTACTTTTTTTCTCCATACATTACTTGATATGTTAGCAGGGCCTTGTAAATAAATGAATCGGTTTCATCCTATCCTTGTTTTGTGGTTTATAATTTCTAAGAATTCATATATTATGTTAGAAGCAAAGTTTTTAGAAACTGGATAATTTGATCTAAAAAATGTAAACCAATATAGAAATCTATATATACTTGAAAAAATACATCTCAAAGAAATCGAGATTTAATCGGTGACTTGCCATGGGTTGATAAAGTTTCTTGTTGCATAACATTTTAGAAATTTATGATCGTGCTTTTGGCTCCATAGTCTGGTGAAATTTGTACTCTAATTGAAAGAATGAAAAAACTCCAAAGCACGAGAAAGAAAGTTTGGTTTATTGACAAGGTTGTAAGTATATAAAACTATTTGCAATTTCCGTTTCAACTTTAGTTGAACTCTTTGACCTCGTCCCTTTACTTTATTAGTGCATTGCATGTGCAGGTATAAAACATCATTCCATTGTAAACATTAGCACAACTAGTTCAGAGAAATGGGAACAAATACCTAATTTACACTGAAATTTTGTTTTGGAGCTAGTGTTGTCACTTCTAGATGTTGTAGCCAATTTAGATATGGGAATAATAATACTGGACTAAATGATTGATGAGAAATGGCTCCATTTATGCTATCCTAAAGTTGAGTGTGACTTATGATTGATAATGCCACAGGAGAAATGTGGATGGAATCTTTAGGTACCCACACTTGAGGAGGGAATTTCAGAATTTAACTTTATGCTCTCAATTTATGTATATTAGCCTCATTCCTATGATATTGAACAAAATAGTATAAAATTTTAAGTCCTTGTTTGGTTTGGCTAAAAATAAATTTTTTATCAAAATATTTTTATAGATTTTGATAAAAATTGATGAAATGTGAAATTGATAAAAAAAAAATGAGTATATTATATAATTTGACATTACAAATGAATTCGAAAAAAAAATGAGTTTCATAAAATTAGGGCCGAACAAAGGCGAAATTTCATTTTTTATATTGTTGGAGTCCAACTATGCACTCCATTAAGTGGAGAGCCTGGATTAGAAGTTTCTATACTAAATCACCATATTGAACACCGTATTATTCAGATCAACTCGGACAAGGTCACCGTAATTAGCAAAAATGTCATGATTCATAATCATTGTCATTGTAATATCCCCATCTAAACACCAACCACGCCCAGAATGACACATAGCAGATATGATGTCAGTACCTAATTTTCAACCAATTATAAGTAAGTCATGATTACCCAATGGTAGATCATCATTGCCTAATGCCATATCTGTGGCCTAGGCGTCGCGATGATCTGAATGTTCAACCTTGACTTCCAAATAAGGAAAAAGGATTTTGTCGATGGCACACGTTTCTAGGATGACGCAATATTAAATTTGACACTGGACAAGCAAGTGACATAACCATCCAACTTGCAAATAAGGGCAAAAGGTCCCGTTTTAGGGTGATCTAAGACATTTAGTAAACAACACCCTTGAAAAGCTTTGTGGAATACGAATGCTCTATATCCTAATTCAATTCCAGCAATCAATCGACAAAATTTCTATAAGTTGATCTAAAATTTTCACATCTTTAGATATCAACAAATATTATTTATGAGATTGTATGTATATTTAACCACAGGTTGTACTATGTATACCAAGATGCAATGAGTAATACCATGGCCTGAAATGTTGATTTCAATTCAATATTTGAACGTATATTGTAACATAAAATAATCTTGAAATTGACATAATCATGCTGTATTTTCAGAAAACTTTTATTGTAATTAAATATGTGAATTAAAATAAATTTATCTTGAAATTGACATAGCCCAAAATACCGTTAATGAACAATACTCACTATTTTCCTCTCAAATTGACTTTGAGGTAGAAAGAGGGGACAAAATTGGTGTATACAACCTAGACACCTTCAAGGTCCTAGGTTTCATGATTTTTCAAGAAATTGCTATTATTTAGTTTGACATTTTCCAGTCAAAATCCTTTTGTATGTGGGTAGATCCAAATTCATACCTGTATGAGCCACTGGAGAACTGTGTCACGTGATCACATGCTCAAACCGATGAACTTGGTCTTATATGCAGGGGATTATCCATCAATTTTATAAATATTTAATACCAACTTGAATGACAACACTAACCACATTAGATAACAAATTCAATTAAATATAAATAATTATGACCAATTTAATATGACCGACAATATGCTGATTCATAGAATGATATTCAACACTACTTGTGCTAGATAACATTATTCATTTATTGCTCTTATTTGATGGGAATTATAATAAGATTTTTAACAGATTTTGATGAAATTTGATGAAATATGTTGTTAAAAAGTTATGAATCGTATAAAATATGTAATTAAAATTAATTATTTATTTGACTTATATTAAATATAAATTTTAATTTCCACCGGACATAATTTAATCCTTGAACTCATTTTCAAACAACAGATATTTTAGCAATTGTTTGACCTCTATTATTTCCCAATAAAAATTCTCCAAACTTATTTTCAACCACACATTCTCTCAAATAAGAGTAATGTTATTTAGCTCCACTAGGATTACAATCTCAATTTAGATGACGCGAGTGATAGGCTTAATAAAATGTGAAATTAAATGACTTATTTCATTTCATATATCATTTAATACCACATTAACGTCACCTAAATTGTGATTGTAATCAGTGAGACTACGTAGCATTATTTCTCAAATAAATATGTAACTAAATTTTGGTCCTAAATAAATAAGATTCATGCTACATGTACAATTTAGTTTGACAATTTTGATTGATAATTTATATTTGACAATATCATATATATCCATTTTAAAAAGATGTTTTTAAAATTAATGATCCGAATTTCGATAATATCAATATTGTTTAGGCTCCGTTTGATTTCCATTTTTTTAAAAACGAGAATGAAAATTATAGTTGTTACAAGATCCACACAAGAAATTGAAAGTCAAATATGGTGGTTGGCAAGACGCTCCACCCCGAATCTGCCTCGTTGCCATCTTTAAATGTTGATAACGGTCATATTTTTTATTTTTTTTTGGCAAAAAAAGGAAAATTAATCGTGGTTTACCATTATTTTTGGTTGTACAAATAACATAATTGAATAAATAAATCCAGTAAGGTGTCTACTTCATCCCGGTCCTTGTCTTCTACTTATTCTATTGGCAAAAAAACGAAAATTAATCGTGGTTTACCATTATTTTTGGTTGTACAAATAACATAATTGAATAAATAAATCCAGTAAGGTGTCTACTTCATCCCGGTCCTTGTCTTCTACTTATTCTAGTTACTCAAAAATCTTCCACCCAAATATATCCAGTAAGCTTTCTCCATTTCCCTTTCACACTGTTTTCCATTTGCTTCTTCTGATTACTTTTATCTCAAAATCAAATCAAAGCTTCAATCTTTGAATAAATAAATACACAGAGTGAATTGTTTTTGTGGGGTAGGTGAATAGTGGGTTTTGAGTTGTTTGTCGTACTGAGACGGGGAAGGTGGTGGCAGTGGCAGCTGTGGTGTGTACGGCGGCGGTATGTGCCGCAGCTGTGCTGGTGACGAGGCACCGGATGAAGAGCTCCAGGAAATGGACCAAGGCGGAGGCCATTTTGAGAGAGCTGGAAGAGGAGTGTGGCACCCCAACTGGTAAGCTCCTGCAGGTGGCTGACGCCATGACGGTTGAGATGCACGCCGGCCTCGCCTCCGAAGGCGGCAGCAAACTAAAGATGCTCATCAGCTATGTTGATAATCTTCCCACTGGGTACATATAATTTATTCTTGTTTGAAGTTTGGTTCCTTTTTTTTTTTTTTTTTTTTTTTTGGGATAAATCAAGTCTTTGGGGGATAAAAGATGTGAATTTGGAGTGTTTTCTATATATTATATATATATATATATATATTAGCCTATAAGGACTTGTTTGAAATGCACTACGTGACTGGATTGAACCGTACATTAGAACGACTAGATTCAGCTACTTTTTCTATGTTGATATTTTCGAGTGTGGTCCAATTTGACTTATCAAACATGCCAACTGTACGGTCAGCTCATTAATCACTAACTTGCTTCTATTGTTCCAGTATTTCTTATATCTCTGATAATATTGAGTTTTAGGCCCTATTTGGTCTCATTTGCTAAAACTCATTTTTCCTTAAATTCATTTTAAACCACGTTTATGGTGGGACACACAACTTTTATCAATTTTTCAACCACATATTTCATCAATTTATATCAAATTCTACAAAAAAAATCTGATTTTTATCTAAACCAAAGAGTGGTGATGCAAATATATGGTTTTAGATGTGGTTGAACTGGTAAAATTGGTTATTTTTATTCTCACAATTAGGGAATAACTTATAAGCGCAATATAGCCTTGACTTTATTGGAGAAGCCATACATGCTTTGATATTGGTTCATGAAATTGTAATTTTACTTTTTAAGGCATATTCTGATTTCAGTTAAAGGTTCTGGTTGAGTTGAGAGTTCACTCAAGTCGTGGCAATCTTATGCTAATAGACAATTAACATTTTCTTTAACAAAGATTTGTTTGTACTTCTATTTAATGTCTGTTGTAAACGTAACTAGGGACCTTTCTTGCCTTTCCTATTTCTGAATCCTCTTTTACGCCTTTCTTAGTGACTCGAGCGTTAAATACACATAAATCTTTCATTTGTGGAACGTTTGGCATGCGCTTGCGTTGTTATTCTTTTTACATTTTTTACCTCTTTGGTTCTTCGGCTTCTCCTTATCGGGTTCATTAATTAGTTTCTTCATCATCATCATCATCACCACATGTTAAAAATAATTTTAATTGTTCTTGTTTATTAAGTTTTTCTCTTTTTATCGTGTTTTTGATTCTGTTGACTTGCTTTTGTGAATAGTCAAACATAGTGTTAACTCTTCATTTTACAACTGTAACCTGATTTTATAGCCTTATTTAATACCTGTACTATCTGAAGACTATTATAGTTTTGCACGTTTAGTTCCGCTTTTTCCAAAATAAAACACTATTCAGATTTGAGTTTTTATTGAAGTTGCATCTATAATTTTCTTGTCTTGTTCTGAATTAGCTTCTTTTTCCGTTTATCAAGTCAAAATTACTGCTAACTAGCTTACTTATTGACTTAAATCCTCATACTGTCTTGACCACTTATCATTACTCTGATACATCAAAATATTATATGGTTGGACGTCATGAATGTTGTGGTTGTTTTATCATTTTACTTTCTGTTTTAACTGTGAATTACATAGTAATTTCACTGTGGTTATAGTTATACAAAACCCTCAGTAAAAGTTTGTTAAAAGTGACACGTGAAATAAACAAACTCAAATGGATCACTGGGCTACTAGCCGACTATTAATTATACTCTTGAAATTTTCAGGAAATGGAAGTTCTCAGAGGAATCATCTCAAATCACTTGATAAAAGACTTACAGTAAACAAGATAGAAATGGTAGAAACATTATTCTGAGAGAATACTAAGAAATGCAGAATTCTGTTTTCTTTATCTTCCATGATCTTGAGGACAGCTAGATTGTAGTGCCCTTAGTTCTATCTGATCCTGGACTAATTTGATATGATTAAGTTTTGTCTCTGTTTCTCTTCCTGGAGATAGGCTTCACTTATCATGCTTATGTTCATCGATATTTTCTGTTTCAGGGATGAAAAAGGAGTATTTTATGCATTGGACCTAGGTGGCACAAACTTCCGAGTCCTGCGGGTGCAGCTTGGTGGAAAAGAAAAACGTGTGGTCAAAAAAGAATCCGAAGAACTTTCAATTCCTCCACATTTGATGGTTGGGTCATCTCATGTAAGTGTGTCATCAGCCATTCTTTCAGTTTAAAATGTTGTTTCAATTGTTATTATGCTGTGAAATTTTGTTTCATGGTGATTCCAGGAATTGTTTGATTTTATTGCTAAGGCACTTGCAAACTTTGTTACAACAGAAGGTGAAGACTTTGTTCTTCCACCTGGCAGGCAAAGGGAGCTGGGTTTCACCTTTTCCTTCCCAGTTAGGCAACTATCATTGGCTTCCGGGACTCTTATAAAGTGGACTAAAGGCTTCCTCATAGAAGATGTTGTTAGTTTCAGAACTTAATTTTTTTCTCTTCTTTTTTCTATGTTGAACTTTTGTTTATTATTCTGTTAATTATCTGTGCAGAGGGCATACCTATTGCACTTGGGTTCTGTTTTAGGATTAAACCTTAATCCCTAACTCTGAAAGCAATAACAAACAAAAAGGAAATCAGAAAATGCACAAAGAATCCAAATATATAGTATTTGACATCAGTGTGAGAGCTATGTCCACTAGCTGATTTTCACAAAAATCCACTTGTCTTCAGAATTTATTTATTTATTCCTTTTTTTTTTTTTTT